TATTTAACAAGGTAGCCAAGAATACTCACTGGAGTCTCTTCAACAAGTGGTGTTGGAAAAATTGGATATTCACATGTAAAAAAATGCAACTAGATCTCTATCCCTTACAAGAGTTAACTTGAAGGTGGTTCAAGATGACAACAAAGGAAGATCCTGAAATTACCTCCTCCTTCAGACACACCAAATCTACAACTAAATTTGGGGTAATTTTCTTTGAAAAAGACCTACAAACTAGCTGAGCAACTCTTCACATTAGGCAAATGAGAAAAAGGAAACACGGAAGCAGGTAGGAAAAGCTGAGACACAATCTTGCCGGAAACCCCACCCCTAGGGCAGTGACCCACAGTTGGGAGGGAACTCACAAACCTGGAGCTTCTCCCTGAGGAGCAAAGGGTTCCTACCTTACACTGGACACCACAACTTTTTTTTTTTTTTGGCTGTGTTGGGTCTTAGTTGCTGCGCACGGGCTTTCTCTAGTTGCAGCGAGCGGGGGCTACTCTTTGTTGTGGTGCACGGGCTTCTCATTGCAGTGGCTTCTCTTGTTGCGGAGCACGGGATCTAGGTGCATGGGCTTCAGCAGTTGTGGCACTTGGGCTCAGTAGTTGTGGCTCGTGGACTCTAGAGCACAGGCTCAGTAGTTGTGGTGCACGGGCTTAGTTGCTTGCTCCACGTCATGTGGGATCTTCCCAGACTAGGGCTCAAACCTGTGTCCCCTACGTTGGCAGGCAGATTCTTAACCACTGTGCCACCAGGGAAATCCCTGGACACCACGACTTTTAGGATCTGCACCTGAGAGACAAGCCCCCAAAACATCTGGCTTTGAAAACCAACGGGGCTCACGATCATGAGACCCTAAGGGCTGCAGCAAACTGAGAAATGACTCTTAAAGGGCTCATGTGTGAACTTACTCACCCCAGGGCCCAGTGCAGAAGCAGCTATTTGAAAAGTACCCAAACTTTATACGAAAGAGATTCATTTGATAACCTTAAAGCATCAGCCACAGGGGCAGGAGTCTTCTGGGATACTCTCTGGGGATGGAGGCTGTTGGGTGCCATTCTACGCTCTCCCTCTGCCTTGCGAAAGGCCGGGGGGCGGGCATCATCTTTATTCCCATCCTCAGTGGGCACCATCTTCACACTCGGTCTCTGCTGTAATCCAGAGCACTGGCAGCTCCCGGAGGGCAGCTTTTACGCGTCAGGTGCCCCCGCTTTTATGGCTGGTTCCCGCGTTTTCGTGGCTGCTGTCCAGGGGACACCCCTTGACCATTTAGCTCTGGTGGTCAGCGGGGCTTATACCTACAGGTCCCAAAGGACTGTCACCAATAAAGAAAGAGTTCTTAAACAGTTATGACCTTCAGGGCACAGCAAGAAGCAACAGACCGCAGGAGCTCAGTCTTCCTCTGAAAGCAGCCTAGTAGTTTATCATCATAGCTGCAGCCCGAGGGGAGCTGACTGTAAGCCTTCCAGAGACCTCAAAGGGTGGGTACCACCTTCACCCTCTTCCTTTCTGCGACCCCAGAGCACCAGGAGAGCTCTTACACATGTCTGGTGCCCTGGATTTTGTGGTTTTCCCCCAGGGAATGCTTCTTGATCACCCGGCTCTGGTGGCCTGGGGGGGCTTGTGTCCCTGAGCCCCACAGCACAATAACAATTAGAGAGACAGTTCTTGGCAGACAGCACCCCCAGGGCACTGTGCAGACAGCAGACTGAAACACACCCCCAGTCCTTCTGTGAAAAAGGCCCACTTGCTTGTCCTGGAGCTTCTGCCTGAGGGGCAGGCTTCAAGTCTGGCACACATCCAGGTGCCTACAGAGATGCTCTCAGGGAATGTAGGGCAGGGGACTCCGTCTTTACGTTCTCCCTCTGCCTTGTTCCAGCTTGCCTGTATCTCCCAGAGAAGAGCTTTACACTCATTTACAGCCCCAATTTTCACAACTTTCACCAAGGGGACACCTCCAAACTGACGGACTCTGGTGGCCAACAGGGCTTATGCTTGCAGGTCTACAGAACTCTGCACAGTTGGATACTTCATAATTGCATACTTAAAAGCTGCTGCCTGAGGGTCTGGCTTCCAATCAGCCTGAATCTAGGTGCTGAGATCCTCCCGTCTGAGACATGAACAGGTCTTGGCACATCCTCAACTACTGGGAGCCATCAAAAGTAAAATAAGCTCGCTTGCACAATCATAAAGGCTTGAAAGACAGCCAAGAGCTATAGGGCAAGTGTGAATGCCAAAGTTCATCTTCTACATGTGGCCACTCCTTCAGGACGAAGAGAGGTGGCTGTTTTATCTAATGCACAGAAACCAACACGTAGTCAAGCAAAGTGAGGAAACAGAATATGTTCCAAATGAAAGAACAGGAATAAACCTCAAAAAAAAAACCTTAATGAAAGAGATAAATAATTTACCTGATAAAGAGTAATGGTCATAAAAATGCTCAGCAAACTTGGGAGAAGAATAGACGAACATAGTGAGAACTTCAACACAGAGAAAATATAGAAATTAGCAAATGGAAGTCACAGAGCTAAAAAATACACTAACTGTACTGACACTAGGGGGGTTCAACAGTAGACTAGATGAAACAGAAGACAAGATCTGTGAACTTGAAAACAGGGCAGTGGAACTCATGCAATCATATCAGCAAAAAGAAAAAAGAATTTAAAAAGTGAAGACAGGGAATTCCCTGGCAACCCAGTGCTTAGGACTCGGTGCTGTCACTGCCATAGCCTGGGTTCAGTCCCTGGTCGGGGAACTAAGATCCCACAAGCCACATGGCATGGGCAAAAAAAAAAAAAAAAAAAGTGAAGACAGCTTAAGGAAATTATAGGACAACATCAAACACACAAACATTCTCATTATAGGGGTCTCAAAAGGAGAAGAGAGAGAGAAAGAAAGGTGCAGAAAAGTTATTTGAAGATAGAATGGCAGAAGACTTCCCTAGCTTGGGGAAGGAAACAGACGTCCAGGTCCAGGAAGCACGGACAGCTCCAAATAAGATAAACATAAAGAGATGCACACAAAGACACATTATACTTAAAATGTCAAATGTTAAAGACAAGAAGAGAGTCTTAAAAGGAGAAAGAGAACAACAACTTCTTCTATATAAGGGAACCCCCATAAGACTATCAGATATTTCAGCAGAACCTTTGCAGGCCAGAAGGGAGTGGCACAATATATTCAAGGTGATAAAAGAAAAAAACTTCCTGGCAAAGTTAATATTCGGATTGAAGGAGAGATAGAGTTTTGCAGACAAGCAAAAAACTAAAGGAGTTCATCACCACTAAACCAGGCTTACAAGAAATAAGGGACTGCTTTACACTGAAAAGGAAGGGTGCTAATTAGTAACAAGAAAATATATGAAAGTATAAATCTCACTGGTAAAGTTAAATATATAGTAAAGATAGCAGACTATTCACTTATAAAGCTAATATGAAGGTTAAAAGATAAAAGTAGTAAAAATAACTATAACTACAGTAATTAGTCAAGGGATACAGAAGATAAAAGATGTTAAATATGACATCAAAAACAAAAAACTTTGGGAGGGAGTAAAAATGTAGAGCTTTAGAGCATGTTCAAACTTAAGTCATCAACTTATAATAGATTGTAACAAATATAAGTTATTATATCTAAGTCTCATGGTAACCACAAAGTAAAAACCTGTAGTAGATACACAAAAGACAGTGAGAAAGGAATCTAAGCATACTACTAAAGAAAGTCATTGAAGCACAAAGAAATAGAGCAAGAGATGAAGAAAGGAAGAGAGAGGAACTACAAAACATCCAGAAAACAATTAACAAAATGGCAATAAGTATATATCTATCAATAATTACTTTAGATGCAAATGGACTAAATTCTCCAATCAAAAGACAGAGCAGCTGGATAAAAAAACAAAAAAGAACACCCCAGTATATGCTTCCTATAAGAGACTCACTTTGGATGTAAGGACACGTATAAACTGAAAGTGAAGAGATGGAAAAAGATATTCCATGCAAATGAGGAAACCAAAAGAAAGCTGGGGTAACTATACTTACATTAGACAAAATAAACTTTAAAAGAAAGACTGTAAAGAAGCATAGCATTACATAATGATAAAGGAGTCAATCTGACAAGAGAATATAACATTTGTAAATATTTATGCACCCAACATAGGAGCACTTAAATTTATAAAGCAAATACTAACAGATCTAAAGGGAAAAATAGCCAGCAATACAATAATAATAGGGGATTTTAATACCCCAATTACATCGATGATCATCCAGAGAGAAAATCAGTAAGGTAACATCAGCTTTAAAGGACACTTTAGACCATACGGCATTAACAGATATATACAAAACATTCCATACAAAAGCAGCGGAACATAAGTTCTCCTTGAGGGCACATGCAACATTTTTCAGGATAAATCATATGCTACGCCACAAAACAAGTCTTAGTAAATTTAAGAATACTGAAATCATATCAAGCATCTTTTGTGACCACGATGGTATGAAACGAAATCAATTATAAGAAGAAAACTGGAAAATTCACAAATATATGAAGATTAACAACATGCTGATAAACCAGTGGGCTAATGAAGAAATCAAAAGTGAAATTAAAAATACCTGAGACATTAATGAGGGACTGCTTGCCTCAGAGGCATTTTACAGAAGCAGGCTTGGTCCTGAACAGCAGCATCCTAGGCTGTCAGGATAGACACAAACTGGGGCTCTTCCATCTGTGAAATCTCCCAAATCACAGCTGCTGACCTAGAATTTTTTAGACCCTCTCAGCCTTTTAAGGCTGAAGGAACTCAGTGGCGAACACCCCTGGGGAGGTCTTCCTTTCCTTGTTACATCTTCAAATTAAATTAAGGTGAATGATCACAGCTAAATTTGAGAAATTATTAGCGCAACTGTCAATCAAATTCTCTAGATGGAAAATATTATTCTTTAGAACAGAATCTGAGTTCAGAACCCATCTAGGATTTTTCAGCACCCTTGGGATCAACTTAAAAATTCCATTACCTTTCTTTCCAACGCAGACGTCCATCAGGGTAATGTGGTGGGGTTTTCTTCCAAGGCACTCAACTTGACAAATCTGGTCACAGAGAGGAAAATATTGGTAAAGATGTCAAAACTAACAGACAATGGCATTCAAAATATTTGGCCCATCTCTAACCTTAGTCATTTGCCCTAGTGAAGTAAAGCAAAGAGCTAGTTAGTTGGGGGTTTTTTGGGGGGTAGATTTTTGGAATTAGTGTAGATAATAATTATTTAGCTCCTACATTTAGATCTAAGAGTGAATTTTTGCATATAGTGGGAGGAAAGGTATACTTTTTTTTTTTTTTTTGCCTTGGCATCTTTGTTGGAAAGCAATTGATTGTGACCATAAGGGCTTATTTCTGGACATGCCATTCTGTTTTATTGACCCATATGCTTACGTTTATGCCAATACAAGGTTGTCCCAGGGAATTCCCTGGCAGTCCAGTGGTTAGGACTCCATGCTTTCATTGCCAAGGGTCCAAGTTCGATTCCTGATTGGAGAACTAAGATCCCACAAGCTGTGCGTTGCGGCCAAAAAAAAAAAAAACAAAAACAAAAAACAAGATTGTCCTGATTACCTTTATAGAAAGCTTTGAAACCAGGTAGTGTATCCCAACTTAGTTCTTTTTCAAAACTGTTTGGCTCTTCTATGTTCTTTGCATTTCCATGTAACTTTTAGGGTCAGGTTGTCAAATTCTATTACACCAAAAAAGATTTTCGTGGAGATTATGTGAAATCTCTAGATCAATTTAGGGAGGACTGCCTCTTTAACAATAATTGAGCCTTCTAATTGATGTGCATGGTACACCTCTCCATTTAATCAGACGTTCAGGTAAGTATCTCAGCAATGTTTTAGGAATTTTGGTGCATAGTTCTTGCACTTTTTTGTTAAATTGATTCCCAAGTATTTTGTTCTTTTTGATGCTATTGTGAATGAAATTGCTTTTTAATTTCATTTCTGAATTGTTCATTGTTAGCACATTAAAATATAATTAACTTTGTAAAAAAATAAAAATAAAAATACCTGAGACAAATGAAAACTGAAATACAAAATACCAAAATTTATGGGATGCAGTAAAAGCAAGTCTAAGAGGGAAATACATAGTGATAAATGTTTGCCTCAAGAAACAACAACAATCTCAAACAAATAACTTTATACCTCAAAAAACTGGAAAAAGAAAAACAAAGCCCAAAGTTAGTAGAAGGAAGGAAATAACAAAGATCAGAGTGGAAATAAATGGAATACAGACTAAAAAGACAATAGAAAAGATCAATAAAACTAAGAGCTAGAAGTTGGTTCTTTGAAAAGATAAACAAAATTGGCCAACATTCAACCAGACTGACCAAAATAAAGAGAGGAATCAAAAAATAAGATCAGAAATTAAAAAGGAGACATTATGGGCTTCCCTGGTGGCGCAGTGCTTGCGAGTCCACCTGCCGATGCAGGGGACACAGGTTCGTGCCCCGGTCTGGGAAGATCCCACATGCCGCGGAGCGGCTGGGCCCGTGAGCTGTGGCCGCTGGGCCTGTGCATCCGGAGCCTGTGCTCCGCAACGGGAGAGGCCACAGCAGTGAGAGGGCCATGTACTGCAAAAAAAAAAAAAAAAAAAAAAAAGGAGACATTACAACTGATCCAAAGGATGGTAAGAGACTACTATGAACAACTATAGAACAAACTGGACAACCTAGAAAAAATGAGTAAATTCCTAGAAACATACAACCTTCCAAAACTGAATTATGGAGAAATATAAAATCTTAATAGACCAACCATTAATAAGGAGACTGAATCAGTAATCAAACACTTCCCAACAAACAAAAGTCTAGGGCAAGACAACTTACTGGTGAATTCTACCAAAACATTCAAGGAATAAATATCATTCCTACTCAAACTCTTCCAGAAATAAGAGGAAGAAACACTTCCAAACTCATTTTATGAGACCAGCATTACCCTGATAATGCAAAACCAGATAAGGATGCCACAAGAAAATTATAGACCAATATCACTGATGAACACAGATGCAAAAATCCTCAATAAAATATGAGCAAGCCAAATTCAACTATACATTAAAAATGATCATATCCATCATCAAATGGGATCATCCCAGGGATGCAATCATGGTTCAAAGTCTTCAAATCAATCAATGTGATACACCATTAACAAAATGAAGGATAAAAATCATACATGCAGAAAAAGCATTTGACAAAATTCAACATCTGTTTACGGTAAAAACTCTCAACCAAGTGGGTAGAGAGGAACTATACCTCAACATAATAAAGGCCATCTATGACAAGGCCAGAGCTAACATCATACTCAATTGTGAAAAGTTGAAAGCTTTTTCTCTAAGATAAGAAACAAGATAAAGATGCCTACTCTCACCACTTTCTTTTCAACATGGTATTAGAAGTCCTAGCCAGAACAATTAGGCAAGAAAAAAAATAAAAGGTATCCAAATCAGAAAGGAAGAAGTAAAACTGTTACTGTTGGCAGATGACGTATTATATATAGAAAATCCCAGAGACCCCACCAAAAACACTACTAAACTAATAAACGAATTCATAAAGTTGCAGGATACAATATCAATATACAAAATCTGTTGCATTTCTACAAACTAATAACTATCAGAAAGACAAATTAAGGAAATAATCCCATTTAAAATTGCATCAAAAAAGGGACTTCCCTGGTAGTGCAGTGGTTAAGAATCCGCCTGCCAATGCAGGGGACACAGGTTTGAGCCCTGGTCCAGGAAGATCTCACATGCTGCGGAGCAACTAAGTCCGTGAGCCATAACTACTGAGCCTGCAATCTAAAGCCCGCAAGCCATAACTACTGAACCCGTGCACCACAATTACTGAAGCCCATGTGCCTAGAGTCTGTGCTCTGCAACAAGAGACGCCACTGTAATGAGAAGCCCATGCACTGCAATGAAGAGTAGCCCTGCTCACCGCAACTAGAGAAAGCCTGCACGCAGCAACGAAGACCCAATGCAACCAAAAAATATATATTGCATCAAAAAAAAATAACATACTTAGGACTAAATTTAACCACGTAGGTGAAAGACATATACACTGAAAACTATTAAGACATTGATGAAAGAAATCAAAGACACAAATAAAATGGAACAATATTCCATGTTCATGGATTGGAAGAATTAATATTGTTAAAATGTCCAAGCTGGGGCTTCCCTGGTGGCGCAGTGGTTGAGAATCTGCCTGCTAATGCAGGGGACACGGGTTCAAGCCCTGGTCTGGGAAGATCCCACATGCTGCGGAGCAACTGGGCCCATGAGCCACAACTACTGAGCCTGCGCATCTGGAGCCTGTGCTCCGCAACAAGAGAGGCCGAGAGAGTGAGAGGCCTGCGCGCCGCGATGAAGAATGGCCCCCACTCGCCGCAACTAGAGAAAGCCCTCGCACAGAAACGAGACCCAACACAGTCAAAAATAAATAAACTAATTAAAAAAAAAAGTCCAAGCTACCCAAAACAATATACAGATTCAATGCAATCCCTATCAAAATTCCAATGGCACTTTCCACAGAAATAGGAAAAAATAATCCTAACATTTATATGAAACTATGAAGACCATGAATAGCCAAAGAAATGTTGAGAAAGAAGAACAAAGCTGGAGGCATTATACTTCCTGATTTCAAACTATATTACAATGCTGTAGCAATCAAAATAGAATGGTATTGAATAAAAACATCACATATGTCAATGGAACATAATAGAGCCCAGAAATAAACCCACCCATATATGGTCAATTATTTTATGACACAGGAGCCAAAAATATGCAATGGGGAAAGGACGTTCTCTTCAATAAAGGGTGTTGGGAAAACTGGACAGCTACCTGCAAAATAATGAAACTAGACCCCTATCTTATAACATACACAAAAACTAACTCAAAATAGATTGGGTTGAATGTAACACCTGAAAACAATAAAATTCTTAGAAGAAAACATAGGCAGTAAGCTTCTTAACATCAATCTTGGCAATGACTTTCTAGATGTGACACCAAAAGCAAAGGTGACAAAAGCAAAAATAAACTCAGACTAAAAAGGTTCTGCACAGCAAAGAAAATCATCAACAAAATGAAAGGCAACCTATGGCATGGAAGAAAATATTTGCAAATCATATATCTGATAATGGGGTTAAAATCCAAAATATATTAAAAAAAAAACTCATACAACTCAACAGAAAAAAACCCAAATAATCCAATTTTAAAAATGGGCAAAGGACCTGAACAGACACTTTTCCAAAGAAGATAGATGAATGGCCAACAGGTATGTGAAAAGATGGTCAGCATCATTATACTCATTAAGGAAATGCAAATCAAAAACCCGAGAGATCACTTCACACCTGTTAGAATGGCTAGATTCAGAAAGACAAGAGATGATAAATGCTGGCAAAGATGTGAAGAAAAGGACTCCTGTGGATGGTTAGTGGGACTGTAAACTGGTACAGCTGCTATGGAAAACAGTAAGGAGGTTCCTAAAAAAATTAAATATAGATTTACCATACGATCCAGCAATCCCACCTTGGGGTATATACCCAAAAGAACTGAAAGCAGGGTCTTGAAGTGATACTTGTACACTCATGTTCACAGGAGCATTATTCACAATAGCTAAAACATGGAAGCAACCCAAGTGTCCATCCACTGATGAATGGATAAGCAAAATTCAATATATACATACAATGGAATAGTATTCAGCTTTAAAAAGGAAGGACATTTTGCAATATGCTACAACATGGTTCAATCTTGAGGACATTATGCTAAGTGAAATAAGCCAATCACAAAAAGACAAATACTGTGTGATTCCACTTAGTCAAAATAATAAAGACAGAAAATAGAATTAGGTTTTCCAGGGGCTAGAGGGAGGGAGAAGGAAAATTATAGGTATAGAGTCAGATTTACAAGATGAAGAGAGCTACGGGGATGGATGGCGGTGAGGACTGCACAACAAAGTGAATGATTTAATAAAATTAATTAAATTGTACTCAACTGTACACTTAAAAATGGTTAAGATGGTAAATTTTATGTTATGTATATTTTAACACAAAAAATTATGAAATTAACATATGCTCATCATAACAAAAAGTAATTACATTAACAAATACCCAGTCTGCCCCCCTCCTCAAAGCTGTACAAATTATTTAAGCTCCTATCAAATTACAGAGATGCCATTAGCTTACATTGATGAGCCAGCATTTTCTGGGAAGGGGAGAAAATTCCTTTAGCAGAATGAAGAACATAATTAAAATACTGCTTCTGTCTAAGAAGCAATGCAAATAAATTATTTTTCATGCAGAAATGAACAAGAAAAAAATTTAAGTCTCAGACGCATGGAGTGAAAGCCAAGGTCTGGAGGGACAGGCAGGGGATAGAGGGCTACTGCTTAGTGTTTAGTAGATGGTCTGTGTGTTTGCTTCCTGAAGCTTATGCCCCAACCCGATGGAGACTTAGGGGAAACAACTCTTATTAAAGTAGTGGTAGAAGGGGGCAAAAGATGAGACGACAGTGAGGAAGATACCTTTATAGACCCTTTTACATGCATCACCTGAACCTCAAAATTACTCTGTAACGTCATACAGGGAAAATGTTCTTATTCTGATTTTATGGAGTAACAGGATTTCTAGGAAGTGCCTCGTCCAGGTCATCCAGCCCTTTGAAGCCTTCCACCCCGGCAACCTGGGCACCATCCAGTTTACCTGACACCCTGCCTCATGGAGGAACAATGATGCTGAGCCAGCTCCTTCTGAATGGGGTGAGATGGGGTTGAGCCAATGAACTGCTGATGCATCAATGATAATGAATCAACACAGCAGCTAACTGACCCCAAAACAGAAATTTCTGACGTGTTTGTGGCGCAGGGACTGTCAGTATCCCCTAGTGACAAATTCTCTCCCCAGGAAGGGAAATGTCTTACCACAAACATCAGAAAGCATTTGTCCAATGTATTTCTCAGTGTGAAAGATTATGCTTATCAAATAAGTTTACAGATCACCTCCTTGTCTTTCCAGAAGAGTTGGGGTCAATGTGAAAAAAATTTTGCGTGCACAGAACCGGGGTTCTAAACAGAGAACATTCTAAACATTTTACCTCTTTTCCAGCTGATTTTACAATATAGGCAATTAAGTAATCAAGGAATTAATGAATTTCTGGTGCACAAGAAAACCACATAAGCTCGAAGTTCTTCTGCAGTCTCCCGCTTTCTTTTCTGTCACCCTGACTTCCACACTTCTCTTTAGGGACCCCCTAGCCGACTTGGCTACTGGGGCCGCAATCTCACCCCCTCTCACCAGCTCAACAAGGTACTGCAGAACTCGGCTGCAATACCACATTTCACCGGTAGATGTCGGAGCCCCAACACTTGACAGAGTCAACGTTCACATTTCTGACAAGCAAACCAGCAGCCATTTAGCGCCTACTGTATACTCGCCGACAATTATGCTAGGCGCTTTCAGGTCAATACCGCACCGGTGGGCTCATCTGGGAAACGCGTGAGGATTCGATTAGTTAAATTGTATAAAGTGTTTTGCACAATGACTGAATCGTAGGGTGAAATTATTACCGGCCCAAGGTGAGGCGGCAGAGACCAGCCGGGGTCCACCGCAGCTGTCTCAGCAGCGAGGTCTGCGTCTGGGCCCAGGGCTTGCTTTCCATCCAGTTGGGGCACTTGTCCTTTTTCCTGTCGCCTACCACCAAGCTGCTGGTACGTCCTCCAAGTTGGGATCCGGAATTTGGCTCCCCTCTGGCAAAGCGACGGTGGTGTTGGTGGGTGGAGGAAGGGGGGTCTCAGTTGGGGCGGGTCCAGGGCGGGGCAGCTACATCATCCGCTTTCCTGCGGGCACTTATAAAAGGCGGGCAGCCTGGTAGGTGGCACGGTGGGGCGCAAGACGTCGCGCTCCTAAGGTCTAAACTCAACACAAACTTTTCTCCTTTGACTTCCGGGCCTGCGCTCTACCTGCCCGCGAGACCGACCCCGGCACCTGAGGCACGCGGGCTTGGCCCTCCCGCCGCGTAGCCAGGCGGGGCCTCGGCTGCACCTGGGAGGCTGCACTTGCCTGGGGCCGCCAGTCTCGGGCTGGTGGACTCCGCTGGGCGCCCAGCGTGCGGCGTACCCGGGTCGACTTCGGCGGGCAGGGCGCCCCGGTCGCCTGCCTCCCGGGGGAAGGACAGGCCGGGACCCACGCTCCGGCGCTCCGACCCGCACTTGGCGCTGGGGCCCTGTGGCCGACGCACACGCGCAGAGAGGAGCCAAGTGCCGGGGCCCCAAGCGCGCGGAGGGTGCGCTCGGCGTAGGCGTGCGGTGGCCGCCCCAGGTGCCGGCAGCCGGGACGCCCCCTCCCCCTACGCACGTGCAGGCCGCCGCCCCCTCCGGGCTACCAGCGCAGCCGCGAGGCGGCGCACCAATCGCCCAGGGCCGCCGAGGGGCGGGGCCGCTGCCCGCATTGTTCCTCCCCGAGCGGCGGGCCCTCCCCTTCCCCCAGTCCCGGGCGGGGCGCGGGGCCGCCGAAACCGCGGAACGTGGGCTCGCGCCCCGCCTTTGTCTCCCGGGCGCGAGCCGGCGCAGACCCGCCCCCGCCGCTCGCTGCCAGAGCCGCTTTGTGACGCGGCGCGGGGGACGGGGTCGCGGGGTGCTGAGCCGGCGGGCACAGCCTCAGCATGGACGTGACCGTCTCGGAGCTCATGGAGCTCTTCCTGCAGAGCCCGCTGGTGACCTGGGTGAGTGTGCCCGGCCCCTCGCCCCATTGTTGGGGCACTAGCTCCACTCCCGCCCGCCTGCAGTCGCAGCAGACCCGACCCGGCCGGGTTCCCGGAAAGCCCCTGGACGCAGAGGATTCATCAGGTGCCCCCGGCCGGTCATCAAGTGTCCCGGAGTACCGGGGTATTTCCAGCTCTGGAGCCCGCGCGCCCGGTGCAGGACCCCGCCGCGCTCTCGGCCCGGCTGGGGGCTGAACGGGTACACCTGTTCCCACCGGGGCGTTGGGCCGGAGGCCCTAGAGCGACAGTCTTCCGGTGGTCACCCTGGCCTCCCATGGCTTTGACCATTCGAGAAAAGGACCCATTCCCCAAAACATCCTCGTGTAGTTTCTGAACCCCTGAGACCAGCGGGTGGATGGCGGTGGGGATTAGGGGGTTCCCAGTGAGAACGTGTACAGGCTGCGCTGGGCGCACTGATTTCCAGTGGATTTGAGACGTGAGAAATTTATTGAAAAGTCCCTTTTATTTTTTTTTTTCCGCTCTGACACGCCGGAGAAAAGTGGCGAGGAAGTTTTCTTTCTGCTGTCTCGCGTCTGTTGCCTGGCGCGGGGAGGGGAGAGAGGCCCTGGAGAAGGGTGCTGTTTGTTGAAGGGTGGGTGGTCTTGGGTGACCCCCTCCTGCCCACAGGGGCTCTGCCCGCCTGGAGAGCTTTAGACTGTGCGCGTGGAGGTGACTTTTCCTGCCTTTCTCTCCGTGTCCCCTACCCGCAGGTGAAAACTTTTGGCCCCTTCGGAAGCGGCAACCAGGACACCCTGACAATGTACATGGATTTAGCGGACGGCATCTTTTTGAACCAAATCATGTTGCAAATGTAAGTTATATTCGGGGAGGAAGGAAGGAGGGAATGATGCCGCAGCAAGTCGAAATTTAAGGTTGTAGAAATGGAACGTGAAGTTGCAGTGGAGGGTTCTTTGCACGTCGGGCCACTGGTATCTCAGCATTAACGTGTCTTTTCGTCGTTTGTGGGGTATGGAGAACTCCAGGACAGTGGGTTGGCAGCTTGTTTGATGAAAGGAATTTGAAATTGAGTGACTGTCGTCCACATGGTGTAGATAGTGCAATTGACTTCGAACTCAGGGACTTGATTGTTGTTTGAGTAATGAGACGAAAAAAACCCTTTCTTTTGGGGGGCAAGGAACTGTAACGGAGAGTGTCTGGTTACAGGAAGTGTCGGGTGGGACCGGAGCATCCGTGAGTGACTATAAAGTTTCATTCGAGGTCAGGACGCCTGTGTTTCTGAGCTCCCCTTCATCTTCCATTTTCAGTTGCCCCGGAGCAAGTACAGTTGGTTAAGTCCCTTCTCAGGAACTGGATTTAAAGTCACTGTGTTGGGAGAGGCGCAGGGAGCCAGAATACTGTGGTACTGTTTGTCTTGAAGCTTGAGGCTTCAACAGGGTCTTGGTGGAAGTTACACTTGCTAGCATGTTGGTCTGACCACATCCTTTCCTGTTGCTGAATTCTGCAGAGCCTGTCTGATTGACAGCCTGCCACATGTAGGTGTTGGCTCCTGCCGCTGCATTCTGTTTTTAACTCAGGAACTGCAGGGAACATATTGGCACTGAGTGTCAGTATGATTCACAGGCACTTGAAGCAAAATAAAACATCCTGATGTTCTCTGTGGATCAGGCCCTTATGCTCACCTACTCACCTGCAACTAAGCAAATTGTCATACTGGAGCATGAACCTGTTAGCTGATGAGAATCAGCTTCGTTTTTGGCCCACGTGGGAGGGGGAACAGTCAGCTTTGGTATATTCAGAAAGTGGCTTAAATACCTCTACCTACAAAGATCTATTTTAAAAAATTTCCCGAGAACATTGCTTCTTTGGTTTAAGAAGTTACCTGATGTCGTGCTCTGGGAGATACATCTCAGTCTTAATTTTTTTTTTTTTTTTTAAGGCACTGCCACTGTTACCAGTCTTGAGTTTGATTAAATTCTAAAGAGACAAATCTGTTGTCAGCTTTGGCAGCACGTCTCCGAGAACATTGATGAGAAGGCGTTTTCCTCGGGTTGTCTTGTGGCATATTCAGGTTCTGGCAACTCTTCCCCCCTCATCCTGTTAGACCCCGAAAATTGCTGGATTCCATGGGTACAGCAACCAGTGAAACTTAGAGCTGTCCTGTTTAATTAAAAAAAAAAGCAGCAGTGTCCCCCAGCCTTTTCATTCAGCTTTTACACCCAGGCGAGGGGAGAACAAAAGCCCTGGGACTGTTTCTCTTTCTTCCCTGACCTTTGGAATTCCTGAAGCGTTTACCACTTGCTTGTAAATCAGGAAAGCCTGTTGGACCATTCCTTTGAGAAATGCCAGCTCATCACTTGTTCACACTCGGCTCGCGGCTGAATTCAGTTGGACGGGCTTCTCCCTTCCCCTTGACAGTTTGAAACGTTATTTTCTCCTCTGTGCTTCGCCAGGGTAATCGTGCTGGAAGTGGGAACTGATACGTTTGCAGCTCTTCAGGCCTCAAGCAGTGCTTCTGGGTCCTCTGGCCAGGGTTGGACACCGAGGAGGGGACAGTGGGGAAGACGGGTGGCTTTCCAGAAGGAGGAAATCAAGGAGGGAGAGGCACAAGCAGCACGCAGTTGACTGACTGACTGATAGGAATGACCCTGTTCCAGGTGATAGATATCAGAGCATTGTTCGCTCTTGAAAGTGGGCAGGGATTGACTGGAAAGGGGGCACAAGTGAACTTCTGAGGGTGGTAGAAATGTTCCATATATTGACTGGAGTATATTTCATCTTTCAGAACTCATCAAGGTGTAACTTAAGATATATGCATTTCACCCTAAATGTAAAAGTTACCTCAGGGGGACTTCCTGGGTGGTCCAGTGGTTAAGACTCTGTGCTTCTAATGTAGGGGGTGCGGATTCGATCCCTGGTCGGGGAACTAAGATCCCACATAAAAAATTACCTCAAAAAAACAACAACAACGAATTTCAACCCTAGTGTTGAAAGCCTAGATAGCCAGCTTGGGTTCAAACCCTAGGTCTCTCTCATGCATGCTTTGTGATGCTGGGCACATCACTCAACCTCTCAGTTTCCTCACCTGTAAAGTGGGAAGGAAAGTACCTTCCTTAAGAGATGGTTGTGAGGATTAAATGATGTTAGTAATTAGCATAGTGCCTGCCACTTAATAGGTATTGGCGTTGGTTATGTAGTTACGCATCCACCTTCTTAATCCAGAAAGGATTTGGGGCACCCCCTAAGAGTTCTTTTTTTTTTTTTTTTCTTTTCTGTCCACCTTTCTCTTACATTCCTAGTCTCCTAGATTACCGCATACTTCTTAGCCTTAGCTCGCTCCCAACAAGATCTAGGGCAAAACTGGACTCTGGGACCCATATCCTAGCCCCACATCTAACACTACTTAAACCAAGCCTGTTTTCACTTCTCCCAAGTGGAGACATGTTGGGCTAACTAGCAGGTAAGTGATAAGGCTGTTCTGCCTTATCTCCCATGCTAGTAGCCCCAACTGTCTTCAGTTCGCCTGTTTTGATAAATTCTCTCCAAGTTGGTAGGACCTGAGAAAATTGCTGAGAGCAGTGTGCTAACCTGTTGCTGGAGTTCAGATAAGAGGCGTGTTACCTAACACTTCGGAGCCATATGGAGGCTGGCTGGGGGTCACGTGACTGCACCTGGGCATTGTCTCTGGCAACTGAAGAAGGCTGCGGTAGTAGTCTCTGGGCCCTGGCCTCCTAGTGACATCAGTGCCTGGAAGCTGGAAAGCCCTGTGGGCTCAGCTTTCAGGGGAGGCCCAGGTCTAAGAGAATTCCTGAATGAAAGTGAGGCATTGAGTGGCGTGGATGGAGATGCTTGGGAAAACTTGCTGAATAGCTCCTCTGTAAATGCAGTTTCTCTGGGTACCTACTGGGAGTCCAGGGAAAAACTAGGTGTCTGATTCACTTTGGACACAGTTTTCATGGTCTCATAGGAAAATTAAGAGCTTCGACTCTAGCATCAGGCAGACAAGTTCAAATCCTCCCTCTGCCACTTACTAGTGCTCTTATCTTGGGCAAGTTACTTGAACTCTCTAAGCCTCAGTCTCCTGATTTGTAATAAGGGGGATGGTATTTTATGGATTTGGGGAGGATTAAATAAGATTATGCATTATGCATGTATAGGAAATGCCCAGCAAATGTCAGTCATCATTATTGTTAGCGTGGAGCCCAGAGCTGGGTTTGTGTGTGTGTGCCCACGTGCGTGTGATGGTGTACATCTGTGCATGTGAGAGTGGACACCTGAACTGATGCAATGGCTGTTGAGTTCAGCTAAGAACTTAGGGCTGGCTGGGACTGAGAGCTTGTGCCTGGGCAAGGCCTGCGTTAAATCCAACACTGTTTGCTTTGTTCAGACTCCTTTCTAACCCCTTGTACTAGCTGCAAATTTACGGATAATATATTAGTTATTCAGAAGCTGGAAATAGCCTCAGACCAATGTGAGAGTTCCTTAGGCTTCTCAAAAGCATGTGAATGATAATATTTTTCCTTAGTGTGCTGGAGGAGGAGTTATGTTCCCATTTTGCAGATGTACAAGCTGAGGATAAAGGGGCAGATACTGATTAGTTGAATGAGTTTGTGTTGGTGCTAGAGAGTTGGAGCAAGAAAGATTTTTACTCATGAACTTGAGTGATACTCTTTCATGGCTGCAGCATATGATACTCTTCATGGGGCCTTTGAGTCTGTAAAAAATTATACAAAAAAATTCACGTCTGTTGGAGGGAGGTCAGAACATACAGATGAGCAAAACGAACATTGCCTATAATTTTACCATGTCGAGGTAGCAGAATTAATATTTTGGTGTTTCCCAGATGTTGTCTATGGTATATACGTAGAATATGTGTTCCAAATGTTCTCTTATACAAATTTGGGCTCCGGCTACTGTGTAACACCTTTTTTATTAACCTGTGATAGATTATCAACATCTCCATCATCTGTATCAAACGTAGTTTCTCATTCAGGGTTTTTTGGATTCATTTTTAAATTTAGGAAGTCTTTGGAATATGATGAAAAGTTGGGGGCTGGCCTTTTCACAAAGGAGGGAGGCAAGGTTGCTATAAATCTAAATTATAGTTCTGTTTAAAATTTTAGGGAAAGTTGATTTCTTTTTTTCAAGTTAGAAGTTTTTATCAGAAGGAAGCCCCGGGGGCCCACACTTTGGACTTGTATCTCTCCAAGTTCGGACAAGCTACCAGTTGCTTTGTTGCACCCTTGTCTCTCTCCTGTCCTCTGACATCCTGATGTGGGGCTGTGTGGCTTTGCTTTCTAGGGCTGTCATACAAAGAAGATCCTTATTCTTAACGATGGCTTTCAGGCAAACAGTCTTGCAGTGGTTCTATGATGTCCTCTTCCTGGGATCAAGAACCAGGTACCACGTGTGCCAGTGCGGACCTGGCCTCCCTAGAATGATAACCTTTTAGTACTGGAAGGATCCTGTGGTCATCTTGCAGATGAGGACAGTGGGGCCCAGAGAACTTTGGCCAGTCCTGGCCCCATTTCCAAACCAGAATCAGTAGCTCCTAACCCACTTCTTGCTGAGGTACAGGGTGGGGTTACACAGTGCTGGGCAGAGTGGGGATAGGCCTTCCTTCACCATAATTGACTTTTGTTCGATTTGTTTCCTAATCTCTCTTTACCCTGAGAGCCTGAGTTAAAGGAGGGAGTGCTAATGATCATGATAATTAGTCTAATTACTCATATAGAACCCCCTCCCCGACCTCCGTCACCTGACGGTCTCCCAGGCCCCGACCCTGGATCCTGGGTGTGTGTTGTGCCATTGCCCGTGCAGTGAATGTCCACATGTTTGCCAAGGTCTTCCAGCTTCTGGCACTCCTCAGGGGGTCCCCGTCTGACTTAATGAAAGCTGGGACTACAATAGCAACAAAAAACAGAAAAAGCCCTGCATGTTCTGAAGTTCTGCTATTTTAGGAAGCACGCTTGTCACGTTATGAAATTGCTTCTCATCTCTTAAGGTGTCTATCGTAAAGGGAAGAGAACTGCACCCTTAAGATAAATTACTTTGTCGTGCTAGGTGCACTTCTGTAGCTAAAATGCCTTTGTGGTTTAAATTCTGAATGCCTCCTCTGCTGCTAAATTAATTGCCACTGAACTGTTAACCTTTATTTTCTCAGTAATGAATGGCTCCAGGAGAAACATGTAACATGTAAATGGCTTGGCCAGATTCTAGTACTGTGTGGGGACAATAAGAAACGTTGTCCCCGGGCTTCCCTGGTGGCGCAGTGGTTGAGAGTCAGCGATGCAGGGGATGCGGGTTCGTGCCCCGGTCCGGGAGGATCCCACATGCTGCAGAGAGGCTGGGCCCGTGAGCCATGGCCGCTGAGCCTGCGCGTCCGGAGCCTGTGCTCCGCAACAGGAGAGGCCAAAACAGTGAGAGGCCTGCGTACCGCAAAAAAAAAAAAAAAAAAAAAATACGAAGAAAAAAAAGAAACGTTGTCCCAGGACAGTTGAAAAGAGGTCCTCTGGTTGTCCCAAGGAGCCCATGTGACTGTTTTAGGAGATACAGGATGATTGAATAAAGTCCATGGCTGATTATTGCATGTGATTCATAAAGGGGTTTGCATATACACAATACAGTGTAGGGACTCATAGTGTTTATATCAGATATTTACTTAATGGTTGAATTTTAAACAGCTTGTGTTATTAAGAAATTGTGCTTATAGTGGCATTTGAAGTAATTGCTATTTTTAGATTTTTTTCCTGTTTGTCAACTTTGTATAAATTATTGGCTTTGGATGAGCTGAATGGCATTGAAATTGATTTGCGTAACTCCCCAAATTCCCCTTCTTGTCCTCTCATCATCATCATCATCATCGAGGGGCCCGAGGAAGGAGGAAGAGACCTGTCTCTCCTCCATCACAGCAGCCCCTGGAAGGCTCAGCACCCTTAACTCAGGGCTCGGATGACGGAAGAAACTGTGAAGACAGCCCTCATTTGAATGAAACATCCTTTGTGGTGCCTTGGGACAGTCGAATGGCACGGAGGGCTATGTTAGGAAAAGCTGTGTGGGCTACATGGGGAGAGGGAAGAGAAATCCGTTCTGTTGAGTCTGTTCTCTTCAAATAGGAAATATTTTTGACACTGAGAATTTTTGAGAAATGTCCTGTATGTAGATGAGTGAAATTATAAATCGCTTGATTCAGATTTCTAGTTTCATCACAAGCAGACCTGACTTTTGCCTGAGATTGGAAAATAAATGACACTTTGGGGGTTTCCCACAGGAATTATTTGTGTCTCTTCACATTTCTCGTAGGGTGTGTTGTACACCACATAGTATCGCATACTCATGGTGGTGGTTTTTGAGATAGAATTGTGCCCCTGGAATGTGAATCACAGGCAAGAGCAATTCGGTGACATAGGCAGGAGACCGGTTTGAAATGGAACATCAATGACTTTACTGGTTTATGAAGTCAGAAAGTGTACTGTTTCCCCCTTTTCCATCTTTCTTGATATTTCCCGTATTTCGCTTTGGTCAGCTTTGGATCCTTTTTAATCTTCAGATATATTGGGGGGTAGGTTATTGATGTTTACACAGTGCAGCTTTTGGGTCTGCACTGACACTTGGTTGTTTATGGCTGCTCTGGGGCCAGAAATAACATTGCTTAAGGGCCGGTGGGGGGCTGAGTGCTTGGGGGGGGACAGGAGGTGATGTGGCTCCCTGGAGGTCCACGGCTTGGCAGCGGCAGAATTACGACTTGACTTGAGCCACTCTGTCACAGCTGCATAGTAACCTAGGCTTGGAGAGGACCGAATGCTCAGTAGCGCCTGGGGTAGGATGGGGTGTGACAGATGCTGGGAGATGCAATGTTCCATTCTCATTTTTCTTCCCCTAGAGATCCCAGGCCAACAAATCAACGCATCAACAAGCACGTCAACAATGATGTGAACCTTCGCATTCAGAACTTGACCATCTTGGTGAGAAACATTAAGACCTACTACCAGGTAAGGCGGGCCCCCCCCCGCGCCGCCCTCCCCGGGTTCTGTGCGTCCGGCAGTACCGTCATTTGAACCGTTTCCCTACAGGAAGCCAAGAGGAAACGGTGGTCAGGCATCTGCTTGTTGAAACTTGGTGTGTTTGCACATGCATCCCTCTTTTTGGCATCGTGAGAAGGGTCAGAGGTGGGATTGCTTTACTTTGTCCAGGGAATGTTCTCTGAGCCGTGTGCAAAGCATCGTGCCAGGTGCTGTGAGGGCCCTAGAGACGAGCCTTGGTTTTCAGCCACGGCCCAAGCACACAGTCGAGTGGGGACTGGCTGGCACGGGCTCTGGGAGGGGCAACCTGACACGGTTATCACCCACAGCTCCGTGAGTCTGTACAGGAGTGATTCAAAGGGTTGAGGGACAGAAGGGACCACAGAAGGGTTATGTTCAGGACAAATATATAATCAGTGAGCGCCCAGCTGGCAGACAGGAGCACTGGGTTCACAGTATGGGGTGTCTGCTTGTGAAATGCTCCCCATATCTCATTAGCAGGTAGTCGGTGGGTCAGACAGGAGGGCCCAAAGGGGGAGGGGCTGTGAAAATCCCCATCCGAGCCTCGGGAAGGTTGAGTGAGAATCTTTGATGATGTTCATGATCTTTAGATAGCCGGCATTGATGGGAAACATATTTAAACTTTGCACCTCAGAGCCCTGATTGTCAAACTTAGCAGTGAAACTTTTTCCCCCATATGATTTTCCTGAGTCCCCAGGTGAAGCCCTAGCAAATCTCATTGACTTGAGAGCTGGGGGACTCTAGCGCCCTCAGCTCAGCCCCTCTTTCTCCAGGGCATCTCTGTGGGTTCCCAGGACCCCAGGGAACACAGTTTGAGAATCACTGCTCAAGAACCAGTCTCCTTCCAGATTCACACTGGGGTTTCACTGAGCCCTCTGCCTCTGAGACCTCCCCTAGCCCTCAGCTTCCTGGGCTGTAACTTAGTCCTGGTTCTGGGGCTTGGGAGAATCTTCAGAGTCATGAGGACCCTGTCACCATGAGGAAGCCCTCCACCCAGCTGTGGCTTCCCTCTCTGCCCTCGTGCGGTGGTGCTGGTTCAGAGGTCACTGAGGTCGCTGGCCAGGCGGCCAGGTGGAGTTTGCACTGTGGCTCTGGGCTGGGTGCTGGGTCCAGTTCCTGCACAGGGCTGTGGTTGCTGCTGGATCTGAAAGAAGGAGGGAAAAGGAGGGAGTGGACAGTGTCTTGGGTTTTCTGAGATGATTATTTCCACTTTCCTCCCACTGGGGTCGGGGTACATGAGAGGGGGCTTGGGGTGCTGGGATGTTTTGCTTGTGTGGCCAGTTCAGCCCCTTGTGCTCGTTCCATGGCCCGCTGGTGGCCCAGCACCGTGGACACTCCGAGCGGCCTTTGGGAGGCTTGGCACCAGGCCCATGCTTTAGTAACAGAGGCCAGCTGTGCTGAGGAGGGGTCTGGGGGTGCGGGAGAGCCCTGTGAGAAATGGATCTATAAGGGTGACGGGGGTTTGTTTCCTTGCTGAGGAGAGCCAGTGCCAGGGCTGGGCACGCTGTCAGCAGGTGGGTCTCAGCTACTGCTTCCCTCGTGACAGCCGCAGTCAGGGGAAATGGGTGCTGCCAGTGAACTCGGGCCTGGGTGTGGAGGGGGCTGCCTGGTGGCCGTGGTGATTGTTTAGCAGCTACTCGGGGCTTGATCTCTGGCTGCAGGCACCATTCATGGTAAGCAGTGCTTTCGACGCTGTGTGCTAAGTGCCAGGGGAAGCAGGTGGTGCTAACAGTTGGAGACAAGACCCCTAACTCTGGACAGGTGAGTCTCCTGCCCCAGGTGTGGCTGGGAGGTGGTAACCCTCCCTGCAAGCACTGGGGTGGAGGTGAGGTTTCTGGCTCTGTACGCAGCACGGAACAGTCAGGTGCTTGCTGCAGGCTGTTTGGCCTGGCAGGTGCTGCCCTCTGGGCTTGGCGGCCCAGTAGGACACATGCTGGTGGCACTCAGCAGCTCTGACAGTCCAGTCTGGGCCGGCCAAAGGGCTTGAGACCCTCTACTTGGAGGTAACGTGCCCCTCTTAGGGCACTGTGCCGAGTTCCAGAAGATGGGAGACAGTCACAGGAAGGAGACGATCTAGTCCATTCTCAGGGCCCAGAAAGACTTATGGGTAGAAAAGAGGACCCTGCATCCTTGTTCTGTTTCTGCGCTGTTAGCTCTTTGAGGGCAGGGCTGCTGTGTATTGGCAGCCTCAGCTCCAACCTGGAGCAAATGTTTGCTGAAAGCACTTGCTAAAAGCCATGAGGCGTCCCTGACCCTCAGCCAGCCCTGCTCCCTTGGAGGAAGCTGGCAGGACACTGCCCTTTGGGTTGACACAGCTTAGGTGTGGGCAGTGTTCTGTTGTGTATTTTTTCCTTCCAACTTATGATAAAATAAAGTTTAGTTCTGGTTATATAAGTAATATGTGCTCTTAATAAACAGCTTAGAAAACAAACAAGTAGCAAGAAGAAAAGAACCACTCATAACCCCACCACCCAGAGACAATCACTATTAACATTTTTAGAGCTTCCTTCCAGTTTTTGCGTGAATAGTTTTTTGTTGTTGTTTTGTTTTTAACATCTTTATTGGAGTATAGTTGCTTTACAGTGGTGTGTTCGTTTCTGCCTTATAACAGTGAATCAGTTATACATATACGTATATCCCCATATCCCCTCCCTCTTGCGTCTCCCTCCCACCCTCCCTATCCCACCCCTCTATGTGGTCACAAAGCACCGAGCTGATCTCTCTGTGCTATGCGGCTGCTTCCCACTAGCTATCTATTTTACATTTGGTAGTGTATATATGGCCTTGTCACTCTCTCACTTCGTCCCAGCTTACCCTTCCCCCTCCCCGTGTCCTTAGGTCTATTCTCTACATCTGCGTCTTTATTCCTGTCCTGCCCCTAGGTGCTTCATGACCATTTTTATTTTTATTTTTTAGATTCCACATCTGTGTGTTAGCCTACGGTATTTGTTTTTCTCTTTCTGACTGACTTCACTCTGTATGGCAGACGCCTGAATAGTTTTTGTTTTACACCGTTGTGGTCGGGACATACATACAATTGCATACCCTGCCTGTTTTCCTTACCACCTGACCATTGTAGCATAAACATACAATAACAATAATGGGTTATTATTTTAAAGGGACATTCAAGGAAGTTTCCCAAAAGAAGTACTGCCCAGCATCCCCTTGTGAGAGAGACCCTGCAGGTTGTAAGGGCTTGGGGTGAAGTGAGACAAACGTGGTTCTTACTGTGGCTGGGGTGGCTGGGAGGGTGGGAGGTCACCCCTTCGGGAGGGGGACTTCCTCTTGCCATGGCTTTGCAGTAGACACACCAAGGTCATGGAGTCCAGCCCCGGGTCTAGTTTGCAAAGCAGTGGTTTGGCCGCCCCCAGGCTGTCCCCTTCTTTTCTGAGGCACGTGGGGCAGGGACAGTCAGCAGGGACAGGGGCCTCTTGTGAATAGCGTGGGCTTCTTTCACAAGGAAGCTCAAGTTTTGCCCCTGAAAAGCCCTGGAGACAGAATAGGTCCTTGACATTTTTCTGGGGCAGAGGACAGGCAGTGGGTGAGAACCAGCACGGCCAGGTTCAGTCTGACCACCAGGGTCGCAGGCCTCCCTCTGACCTGCTGCTCGGACTCTTCCGGGGTTGGCGCCTGGAATCGGCATTTTCAGAAGTTCCCCAGCTGTTTGAGTCTTAACATCCTTCCGACAGGATGGGGAATCAGCAGGCTAGAGATAGAGAGGTGGTTCTCAAAGTGTGGTCCCCAGACCAGCAGCATCAGCATCACCTGGGAACTTGTTAGAGATGCAGGTTGTCAGGCCCCTCCCCCAGACCTGCTGTGGAGGTCCAGTAGTCTGCAGCTTAACAAGCCCTCCAGGTGATTCTGATGCACATGCGTGGGAACTAGTGGGTTAGAGCATTTCTAGTGATGTCTAGGAGGGGCACCTTCAGCCAGGTCTCCTGGGGCGGAGAGGGCTCAGTTCTCACCAGGTAACTCCTCTCCATCACATACAACGGACACACATCTCATCTGCCCCAGGACGGGAAGAGGAGAGGCTCTGAGGAGAGAGGCTGCAAAGATGAGGGGGTGACCAGAGGGAATAGGTGTCACCGAGGGAGTTGCTGGGAAGGGGCAGAGGAAGCCAGAGTTGGACAGGACCTTGGGAAGAGCTCCCAGTTCAGTCTGAATTTTAAGGAAGGAAAGGCTGATCAGAACGCGCATCCGTAAATGGGACATCTGCGGAGAGGCCTGGAGGAAAGGCGGGCCTGGACCAGAACTGCACGCTGCTTTGAGCCGCCTGGCTGGTTAGCGTGGAGCCCAGCATCACATGAGGCTTTTTTTTTGTTTTTTAAATTGGTCCCTCAATTCACTTCTTTTTTTTTTTTAAGATTTATTTTTATTTATTTATTTATTTTGGCCGTGCCGGATCTTCGTCGGGGCATGCGGACCCTTTGCTGTGGCGTGCAGGGATCTAGTTCCCCAGCCAGGGATCGAACCTGGGCCCCCTGCATTGGGAGCCTGGAGTCTTACCCACTGGACCACCAGGGAAGTCCACATGAGGCTTGTTTTACTCACTCAACAGCCAAACTCTTTTCCATCTGAGTCCTTTTCAGTTAAAATTTGGATTTATAGGATGGTTCATTGTTAACATTCAGAGCCTCGAGTATGGACATTGAATGCATGTTCATTTGATCATGGAATCAGTAGGAACATAAGGCAGTATACGCGGAAATCCCCGGTGCAGCAGATGGCTGATACATGCTTATCCTTGGCGGGTTGCTCATGGTGTCAACTGCTGTCCCCTGCCCTGGACACCTGTGATCTAGGTCCTTCTTGTGACTCTTAGAGCCTAATTGTCATGTGAAGTTTCTGAGGTTTCTTTGGCTTTCTGCTGGTGGGAAGCACTTCACACGGCGGCCTGGACAAGTGCAGTGTGTGTTGGTGGAGATGTAAGTCTTCATTGTTGACTC